CCTCCACATGAGCCGGTGTCCTTAAACAGGATTTTAACTCACCGCCGCTCTGACATGACGAGTCGATCACTAAGATGAACAGCCTCCATCCAACAGCGCTACGTTGATGCTGGCGCACACACACAGCTGCCGGCGCTAACCAGCTCACATCGGTATAAATGTGGTCCGCAGGCTGGTTCGGGTGGGGGCCCTTCTCTCTCACAAGAAACGACACCCGTCTCGACGAATCAACGCGGGCAGCCGTCACCACCGCGTCTCAGCTTTCGGCAGCTCAACGCAGCTAAACGTGAAGCAGCTGAAGAACCCGGTAATGAGTCCCGCCTCCCTCCAGCGCGCGCCCCTCCAGCGAGAGCGGCGCGCGTCCCTCCAGAGACAACGGGTGCTCCCGCGGGGCTAGCAGCCTTCACTCCAACAGCACGGCGTAAACGAAGTCACGCCCTCCGCCTTTTCAACGTTCGCACAGCGACGTCAAACGCGCAGCCCCACCGCGTCATCAGCTGTCACACGCTTCGCCTCAGCACAAGTCTCGCCCGGGATCACACAGAAAACATTCCCGCGACGCATGACGGCGGTTGAGGGGCGGACGGCTGACAGCCGTACAAAACATGACACATCACTTAACGCACGTTCACCCTACGAACGTTACGTAGAGTGGCTAAAACATGCTCGCCGTTTTTCAGATGGATGGACAAGGTTTTTATGCAAATGGTACAAGTTACAGTTTGCAACCCGAACCCCTCCATTCAGAGGAGTTATAAAAAACGGCCCCGTCATCATCAGACTAAATCTCATCCCTAAATGCAGAAATCCAAGTGTTTTCTGATAAAAGTAATCTACAGAGTTCCCCAAGGGAGAGAAAACACAAGGTTTTTTACTCACGGATCGGAGGGGTGAGACCGTTCTTGGATCTGTTGTTTAACATCCAGAGAACGCATACCGATCATTCTAAAACACAGAGACGAGAGTTTTTGTTTTACCTGGATGATCTGCTGCTCCTGTCAATTCAGACAGGAGGCGCTGATGCAGGATCAGGTGTTGACATCACACCTGTTAAATCTGGGCTTCGCCATAAATTGGGAAGAAGCTCGATTTTTCCGGCCCAGACATTTGTTTCTGGGAGTGGAATTAAATTCAACCACCATGAAAACTCGTTTATCACAAACTAGATTCGACACTTTTTAAAAAAAGTCAACTCAGCCACGTAAGATCTGGCAAGTGATAACAGCTGTCTCCGTCATGAAGCTGTTGAAATGATGTCACTCACACAGTGGTTCCGCTGGTTTGTTTCACATGAGACGCCTCCAGAGGTGTTTCTGCACGTCTGCATGTGGATCCAGTAAAACAAAACGACGGATGATCATTGTCCCTTCCTCTGTGGAAGCAGACCTCCGACTCTGGGGAAACACCTTGTTTCCTGTCAGAGGGAGTCCCCCTCAGCAGACCCACGTCACGGGTCAGTCTTCTTCACTGACACGTTGCTGTCAGGCTGGGGGGGGGGGGGGGGACATGCCTATCTCAAGCAGTAGGGGCGCTGTGGCCCCACTACACATCAGCCCACATCAATGTTTTTGGAGTGTCGCACAGTACTGAATGTGATTCAACACTTTGCTCCCGTGCTACAGAATCAACACGTGTTGATTCACACAGACAACATGATGACTGCTGCGTACATAACCATCAAAGGGTGTGCGTTCAGCTCAGATGTTACACATTGTGCGAAAGCTACTGAGTTGGGTTCATCAAAACCTGCTCTTTATTAGAGCGGTTTACATATCCGGTGTTCTGAACGTGGACCGGACCCTCCATCCAGACCTGATGTTTTCAGACGCAGCAGAAGTTGGCAAGCAGCTGTGGACCTGTTTGCGACGTGAGAAGAACGCTCAGTGTCAACTATGGTTTTCCCTGAGCCCGCGAGACGATCCATCGCTGGGGGGGGACGCATTTGCTCACAGCCGGTGGCCCAAAACGCTTTTATACGCGTTTCTTTTCCCCCACCTCCTCTGTTTTTTACGGTTCCTGAACCGAGTTCAGGAGGAGGGATTGACAGCTCTCCTGGTGGCTCCCGGCGTGTGAACGCACCATGGTTCCCAGGCCTGCAACGTCTGTTGTCGGGTCGCCGTGGAACTGTCGTGGAGGGAGGATGCTCTCCTTCAGGCAGGAGGAGCGACCAAGAGTTACCCAGAAATAGGTCAACACCTGTGGGTCTGACCGCTGAGCGGTCCCACTTAGAGGATGGGTCTCCCTCAGGAGATAGTGTGCACAATTCAAGATTCACGTGCTGCATCTACCACAGTTCTGTACACATCAAAGGGGACGGCTTTTCAGCGCTGGTGTACAGAGAAGGTTTAGAGGCCACCTCATGCTTTTTAGGCGGCGTGTTGTTTTTCTACAACAGCTGATGGATAAGGAGTTGGTTTTCAGTACGCTTTAACGTACAGTTGCAGTCATCTATTCCTGCCACGAAGGTTTTCGGAGACAGAACAGCTTTTAATCACCCGCTGATGAAGCGTTTTTCTAAAAGATGTTCAGAGACACAGGCCTGCTTCATGTCCACTTGCTCCACAGTGGGATTTAACGCTGGTCCTGCGAGCCCTGATCAAAGCTCCAATTGAGCTTCTGGATCAGGTTTCATTTAAATTCTTGTCTCTTTAAACAGCCCTGCTGCTGGTTTTTAACACCCGCTAAGAGGATAAGTAATTATCTGCCCTCTCTGTTGCTTCGTCATGCCTTAGAATTAGGCTGACGGGCAGCTCAGCTGATTTAAGACCAACCCAGCTTTTATGCCTAAAACATCACGAGCTCTTTTAAATCAAGAGTGATATCGTTGGAGGGGTCTTTTCCCCCCCACAGATCAGAAGAGGAAGCATCTTTTCATCTTCTCTGCCCGGTGCAGGCGTTGACGTGTTACATAACGCACACAGCTGCAATGCGTTTCAAACTCAACAATTGTTTGTGCATTATAGAGATGCTTCTGCAGGTCGCCATTATCCATCCAGCGCTTGTCACTCTGGCTGTGTGAGGCCATTTCTGAAGCCTACAGAGCATCAGATCTAGAGCCTCCTGTCAACCTCTAAGCACACTCCACCAGGGGTATCGCATCTTCGACTGCTCTGCATAATGGTATGTCAATGCAGGACATTTGCACTGCGGCTGCATGGTCAACACCCTGCTCATTTATTCGCTTTTACCTACGTGATGTAACGGCTCGTTCCATGACACATTCTGTCCTTAGTGCTCTAACAGAATGAATATTATTGTTCTCATGGAACTCTGTTTAAGCTCACTTCTGTCTGCATGCATTACAGTGTGAGATGTTGTTATCAGTCACAAGTCGTGTCTATGATTTTGGTTCTATTGTCACTAATCAGTTCACGATTATTGTTACCAATCAGTTCAATTGATTTATAATCAATTTATGGACATTAATCTGTTTATACTGTTCAGCCATGAACCAGTTGGTTCATGCCCGCCCCCCCCCCCCCCCTCTTTTCAACTTCTTCTTCCCGTTGAAAGTTTTCCGGGGTATTCATGCTTTGTCAGAACGCATAGCTACACAACATGCGTCTGTGCATGGCACATAACTACGCGATGCATAGTTATGCACACGGGGAGCTGAGTGACAAGACGTTTTTTGGGCAAGCTTCCGCTTCTTACTGTGTTCGAATGGACCCAGTGAGGCGAGGACCACATCGGCTTCGCCCTTTACCCACTAAAGCGAAGGCCTTAAAGGGCGAAGCTTATACGACATAGAACGTTGGTTACGTACTGTAACCCCAGATTCTATGAGTATAAGCGTAGCCCTTTAAGCGTCGGGCCTCACTGGCTCCTAAATGGCTGAAGAAAAAAGCTATTTTGGGAGCCGATTTCCCGCTCTTAACGTAATTTATATGGACCGGGTGGGGCCCACACAGCAGGTGGGCGTGGACTAATTTTTTCAGTGCTTATGCTCTGCATAACGGGATAAACCACTAAAGCGAAGGCCTTAAAGGGCTACGCTTATACTCATAGAATCTGGGGTTACAGTACGTAACCAACGTTTTGACATTTTAGTTCTTCCCACTTTCTAAGCGGCAACACTTTTTGAAAACAATCTCAACTTTGCTGTCCTCCCTTCCTTCCTCAGTTTCCTGCCTTTAGAAAAAACTAAATGCAGACACATAAAATATTCTCAAACCCACTCCGTCATAAAATTTTCAATATTTAACTCATTAATCTTTTCTTTCATCACAGCAGCTTATCTCACCTTCTCTGCTTTGAGATTGGCCAAAGTCTTCTATCCTCATCTAAAGCTGCATTCATCCTAGTCTATAGGTTCACCTGATTTCAAGAAAATGTAGCTTAGAAAAACCAAACAATAATAGGCCACATAACTTTAAAATTAACTGTAAATGAGCAGAGAGAAGTAAAAAGCCTTTCAGGTCTGAGCCTGGTTGAGTATTTTCATTACCAATGTTGAAACCATTTATAACAAATGTGTTATGGGGGAATAAAATGGTAAAAGTGACTGAATCCATGTTGTCTGACTGATTAATAATACTAATTTAAAAACGTTTAAAGATTCAGAAAGTTAATTAAACTACGAGGCGTGAGGATGAGTGAAACTACATGGAAACACTGAGATAAAACCCCTTTCAGTAGTAAATCAGATCTTTATTTTTACCCATTTATAATAATAAAAACAGAAATACACTGAGACGGGTCTGAGTGAAGCAGACACGCTGCTGACATGAAGGTTAGAGATCATGTGTCAGTATTTTTAGCTCAAGCTGACACCTGCATCTGTCCTACACACTAGTCGTCCTACAGAGAGAACACAGCAAAAGGCTGTAATTAAAGCGGAAATGAAATGAGTGCCTGATGCGCAGGTGCTTTAATTAAACTGAATTCTGATTAAACTCCTTCAAGTTGTTTCCTCTCGTCTCAACACAAACCGTCTCAGTCTTTCACCTTTAAGAAACCTTCCCTTCATGTTTTTGTATAAAATAAGAAACATGTCTTACCGGTTGAAGCCCTCTGTGTGTGTGTGTTCTCCGGGTCTGGGCTGTGTGTGTGTGGAGAGGGGTGGTAACCAGTCAGTCCCGTGCGCCTTGAGGCGCGCGCTGCAGGGCGGTGACTCCATGTGCGTCAGGAGCCTCCCCATCCCAGCGCGTCTAGTCTTCGTATCGATACGAGCGCGATGAGATCGATATTTGAGTACAATTTTTACAAAAATATATATATATTAAAAAAAAATGAAGTTTTTTATTTTATTTTTTTGTTTCTCCGTGCGGTGGAGTATAGATCAAATGTAAACACTGGCCGAAACAAGCCTCAGATAATTATTTAATCGCTTCTGGTTGCACAACAAATTCAGAATAACATTGTAGCATCCTTAAAAAAAATCTTATACAAAAGGCAGATTATTGTAATAAATGGTTTAAAGTGCACAAATTAAATATTTTAATAGATTGCTTTGTTACTGGAGGCAGAGATGTTTGCTGTTCAGACTCCTGTTGGAACACCAGAAAAGAGGGAACGGAGTAAACTTCAATTTGTGTATCGGAGCAGATGTAGCCATCCATCCGTATTTAATTAAAAAAAAAAAATATGATTTTTTATTGCAAACGTGGAGCATATGAACAAAACAGAACAATAGATAACTAATTACAAACACAAATAACATATCAGAACATAAAACAGTAGTTTACAATGTTAACATCAATCGGTGCTCGATGCTTTTTAGCATCTGAGCTTAGTTTTAAGGATTTTATATAGGCTATTAAAAAAACCCCTGGAAATTAGGCTTATTGTAAATATTTCAAGGTGTGAATGTGATATTTATTAAAAATAACAACATATGAAGATTCTGTTTTAACAAGGTCACATTTCCCTATCTCAAATAAAACATCCTTATCTGTTAATGTAATATTCACAATCCGTATTTACTTCCTCAAACACAGCGCGCTGACTGTGACGTCACGTCTTCTTCTGCGCATGCGTGCTGCCTCAGCGCTGTTAACGGTTCACACTGGAGTCTGCCGGTCACGCTCTAATAATAATTTAATACACCACTGAAAAACTAAACAATAAAACAGATATGTGAAAAAATGGAAGTGAGCATTAAAACCTGCAGTGTGAACATAACCTTTGGTTTATTTTAATGTTTATTTATTTCCCCTCATGTTGCCAATGATTGTTTTCTGAGAATTTCACTAAAATCGATCCAGTAGTTCATGACATATTTTACTAACAGACAATGCTGCCAGCAACAGGTAATGCCATATATTTAAACAACTATTTTGAAATGATCTGTTGGAATATTCTCAGCTACTACCACACCCCTTATTTGCCCAGTATCTATAATATTGCCTGAGTTGTAGCCATTCATGTGTTTGTTCAGTTCAGTTAGCTGTGGGGGCCATCTTGAAATATGTTGACTGTTAATCAGCAGAGGTAGTTTCATTGAAATCCAATTGCTTGTTTGTGAGATATTTTGCTAACAGTGCACACATGTACACATTAATGCCTGCATTTCACATCGCTAAGGAAGAGCGTGAGCCACACGTGCATTTGTGACTTTTCTAATCGACGAAAACCCTCAACAACTGCAGGTTTAAACAAATAATCAGCCTGATGTGCAGATAAACAGCCTAAAATCCACTTCCTGCTAAAACATGAAAACATTAAAGAGCTGAGAACAAATAAAAAACCAGGAGCATCAAGTTTTGAAACCTCAACATGTGAACATTCTGATCATCGTGAACTGAAGCTGGAGGTGTCACTAATTAAGTCCCCAAGTACTTATTCAGTCGCTCAGTAACTGTTCTCTCAGGATTTCATCAGCTGTAACTGCAGCAGGCCTGAAGTCATGAAATCACCTAGAAGTTTTTATCTCTAGGAACAAACACAATAACAGAATCCTCCCAGAGGCAGGACTTCCTGTTGAGGTTGAAAAACCAGCAAAAACATGACGTTGTTCTTAAAAATGGCCCTCGCTGGTGTCAGATTATTATTATATTTTATTATTTTCTGTAAACTTTAGCAGCTCTTACTGAAACAAACATATTCAAACTGAAACAGTCATGTTTGAGCTTAGCTTTTTTAAATTTCTGTTTGAATTGCAGATTCACATGACGAACGAACGAACGAGCGTTTAACTGGGTCAATCATCTGGATGTTGTGAGGAGGAAGTGACACCAGACGCGCTTTCAATCACAAAACCAGTCAAAGGTTCCTCGGCAGCTCTGAAAGTTCAGCAAAAGGCTGATAGTGATTGTTTATTGGAGCAGGGAAACATCCTGAGGACTGAGTGATGTCATCAGAGCTCTTGTAAAACTGCTTCGTGTATGCCAGGCTGCAAACATCAGCAGTTGTAACATCAGGCCCAGTACAGCACATTAAAATGCTGACTGCTGTCTCAAGAGGATCAAAATGTTTCAGCTTCAAGAACAGCAGTTTTTAAAGTTATTCATTCAGTTATTATTGTTGGTCTGAACTTTAAACATGTCCCACTTATAAAGAATTACTGTCTCAGTTGGAAAACAGGAAAAGATGAAACTTCATTTCACAAATGTGCTGTCACAATGTGGAGTTTCTGTGATGCTTTTTTAATATTTGACTCAGACTAAGTTGCTCCAGAAAACAGAATTTGAATTAATTACTTGGCTGAAAATTCTTATTGATCAGTTTATTCCTGGACAATTTACAGCTGAATGAGTCTTAAAAATAGACAAACTAAATAAACATGTTTAGAAGTTATTTCTGAGGTTTTAGGTTTTTGAAGATGTGAGTAAAAACTTGGTGGACCTTTTTTTTTTTTTTTTTTTATTCTTTGCTTTAAACAGGAAATAAGAAACAAAATGTTAAAGAATGCAGAAAACATTGCTCATCTTCCGAGACCGGCCATAAAAATAAATCCCAAAACAAGATGGGTTAGTTTGCAATAAAGTGTGAAATTATGTTTGCGTTGTCCCAGATGTCCTGAAACATCCGTGTGGTGATAAAACAGACACGTCACGATGTGCTGAAGGTGGGAGACACAGAGCAGCTGATGGACGGGGATTATACACAGATATGCAGTAAAAACACAATTTTTTAAATTAATTTGCAGCATTTTGAGTTTTATTATGCACAAAGTACCTATAACAGAGAGTGAAAGGCTACCAGACTTAAATAAAAACATTTCAATAAAAGTAAAATTTAAAGTCAGCAGTTTCAGCTTCAACTGTTTAGTTTAGTTTCCACAATTAAAATACAGATCAAAGAATATTAAGAAGAAAATAAAATCAGAGCAGGAAAAGGCAGAAGCCCAGTGGACTTATATAAAGCCTCCACCCAATACATATAGATACTACAAATAATACAATCCAATAATACAGTCAATGGATACTAAATTTAGGAATACAGTCACACAGAAAAAAAAAATCTACAAAGTATTAATGGAAATTTGAATAAAATAAGTAACAATTAAAAGTGATGATCACAATTATTTAATTAAATAAAGTTTTAATTAACGTTGAACAGTCCTCAAATCATCGGTCCTAAAGAGAAATCAACTTATTTGGATCTTTCACCAAAATATCACAAAAAGGCTAAAACAACAGGTCAGTTGTACAAAACAGAGAAAAAACTCTGCAGAAAAAACAAATAAAGTATTTCCCCTTTAATTTTAGAGCTTATGCTCAGAAACGCAAAAAAACAACAACACACATTTCCTCCAAAATACTTAGAGCAACTAGAATACAGCTGTGGTGGCTTCACTTCCGTTTAATGATAAAAATACATGCTTTAATACTCAGGTTAGGTTTAGAACTTTGTTTTTCTTACATTTACCTTTTTATTTTAGCTTTAATTTAACTAAAATAAAGACTTTCTAAACCTTAATACATTACGGTTTGCTTGATTCAAATATTGACCAGGAAGCAAGTTGGACCCAGATTCGAAATCCAGACTGAAAACTCAAGTGAAGCAAAATGTTTCAGCTTGAAGGACAGCAGTTTTTAAAGTTGTTCATTAAATTAATGTTTCGACTATGGATGCTCCGATCAGGTGTTTTGCTGGCAGTCATCAATATTTTCTGATTTAGTTAAAGGTGAGCGCTACTTGCTATGTGGTCTGGAAAATATGAACCATAAAATCACCTTAACTTGGACAAAAACATGTTTTTATTTACTTTTTCAAGACAAAATACTTTTTGCAGGCACAATACAGCAATATGCAAAAGAACAACTGAAAAACACTTAAATTTACCTGAGTGACTCTTTAACAGATTGAAAACATTAAGGCTCTCCGTAGGCTGAATAGTGCAGAAAGTCAAATAAATCTCAAAACTTTGTTTAAATATATAAACCACCGGACCTCTGGCTGCAAAGGTGATCGATTTTTGTGATCGGTACTGAAAGACATTGATCGGTATTGGCCGATCACAGTTTTTAATAGAAATCGTCCGATTATGATCAATTGGAACATCTCTAGTTTCGACCATCCCTGATGCTGTTTAAAATACATTTGGGGACATGATATGCAATGAAAAAGAAAATTAAAGAAAAAGTTTTATTAGACTAATTATCTATTTCCTCCAAACAAAAGTAAAAAAAAACAAAAAAACATCTATTTTGGTAAAACAGGAGAAAGTCAGAGGCTGGAACCAGAAATTTATTTTTCTTTTATATTTTCCCCGTTAATCAAGTAATTAGTTACTACATTCCTAATGAATGTCAAAATTTAACAACTCTTGAGCTAATAAAGCTTTGAAAAGAGACTCTTACTGACTGCTGCCACAGTGAATAAAACAGAAACATAAAATCATCCTGGATCCACCAGAACAAACCGTTCACAGTGAGGCTTCCTAAACTCCCAGCATGCAACACGCCTGTCATTTCTTCAGTGACGTGACACCCTCCGGGGCCTGGGCTGTGTCGGCTCTGAGGTCACCGCTGCATTGAAACACCAGCAGGAGGAACGTATGTGTCAAGCCTTCAGTCGCTGTCCAAGTCCAGCTTCAGAAGGGTTTGAAAAACAGTCCACTCAGCTCCCACAACCAGAACA